AACAGCCGGGCAGAGGCGGTGCTGAGGGCCAGGGTTTGGGGGTGGGATGGCAGGGGTAGGGGAACGGTTGGACTGGATGATCTTAAAGGTCTTTTCCAACCTAAATGATTCTACGATTCCTGAGCTCCTCCTGCACCTGACCCCCTAATTAAGGTGCCAGACCCCCAGCTGAGCCCCCTTCGACCTGCCCGGTGCAGCGGGGCCGGGCCCTGCCTGCACCTCAGGCTTCACAGCGTGTTGTTTGGGCGGGCAGGACAGGGCAGGATGCGGCAAAGTGGGGTACGGGGATGAATTCTGCAAGAGCAGGAAGATGACAGTGAATTGCATGCACCGTTTTTCATCACAGGTGTGAAGTTTGGGCTCCTGGCTTCCTCAGTCCTGAAGAAACCCAAATTCCTTTTGGTGTTCACACTGCACATCCAGTCTAATTGGCGCTCTGAGCTTTGTTTCCCTCCTCACGCTGGGAGTCCAGCCCCTAATGTGCCTTGGGGGTCCTACGACAGGGCAAGACCACAGTGTTGGTGGGGACTGGGGTTCCCCACAATTGGGATAACCCCAGAGTTTTGAGTCCCATGCAGTGGGGATGGATCACAGACCCGCCCTGGGGGACTTTCCAGTTGAGCTGAATGAGATGGGAATCAAACCCCTGCCATGACCCTTTTGAAGAACACGCATGAAGCCGTGGGAGCAATGATAAACACAAAGTAAACTTTATTTTTGGCAGGATGGTTTAACGCCGAACTGCAAACACTATTGGGTGCTCCTCCATATAGCTCACATAAAGACAACCACTTCAAATCCCAGTGGCAACAGCGATACCAAACCCCATGTTAGTTCAGAATTTGAATGATTGCTAAGAGCTGCCAGCGTTTTTCAGGTTTAAGAGCCCGTGTCGCTGCCGAGGAGAGAAGAAATAACTGTTATAGCTGAATTTTGAGGTTTTGGGGAAACAGGGTCGAGTGTAGAGATCTGTCCCTGCAATATGGTGAGCTGCCACCGACCCTTATACAGTTGGAGCTATACTGGAGTTTGAAGCGGATTTAGGAATTTGATCGGCAGAGGGCAGGACTGTATTTATGCCCAACACTATATTTTCCCTGTATGTTATACCACAATTCTCTATACTGTATTTCTAACTTCTTAAGAAACCTGTGGTAGCTTTGAATGAGTAATCTGGCAGCTTGTCTCCTTGGGCATTCAGTATCTCCAATGATTTAGCAAGCACACGTTAATTTTGGGGGGAAAAATGGAGGCAATGGCATGAGACTCTTCTGAGTCTGACAACACAGCTGTAGTGGAAAAGTTCGGAAGAAGGAAAACTTACAGTCATTTCACATCAAGTGTATTTCAAACATCCTCACCTATTATTCAGGCATGTTCGTAACCATTTCACCGTGCCATCACTCCCACTAATACTGAGGTCACCGGGTAATCGTGTTATTGCAAAGGTTTTGGCTATTAGAAATATTGATCGCATTATGTCATTTGGGCCTATAGTGGGCTGGATCGGTTGATTTCTCCGATCACCTAGCTGTAGAAATCATTTTTATTTTCCAAAGCGATCTCTGAAATACTGTATCTGTCCGAGCCTGGATTTTACCCAACCATACCGATATCCCATCCTTTCCAGGGAGGTTGCTCGAAAGTCTTACACTAGCTGTTCAGAGTCTTCTTTTTGACAGCAGCAAGACTGGATTTTTGGTTTTGCTTACAACAGGCAGGTGTATCTCCAGCTCGTTCCAAGCATGTCAAATCGGATGAGCTGAGATTTCTAAGAATTATGGCCACTCGCACCACATAATAAAGCAGTGCAAATAAACATGCAACATTGGTACAACCTCCAACCCCAAAGCAGATAGCATTCTCTCTTCAACCTCAAAATATTACAAGCACTATCTCTATATTAATCAGAAAGTCCTTATCTCCAGCGTTGCTTTCGACTGTGCTACTCTGCAGTTTATTTCCCCATTGTTAGCTGAAAAAATGGTGCTGGTAAGTAAAGTTACTACTTAAGAAAGACCTGATTTCAAGTTCTGGACTATACCAGACTCTTCCCCTCCTAGTTACACTGTTTTCTACTAGGGCAATCTTTCTAGGCAGTGCACTTACAGATGGGTCTATTTTCTTAATAACAGTGAAAACTTCCTAAATATAAGAAATTGTCTTCGCTTTATTTATGGAGGATCTGCTAAGTATCTGCCTCTGGTTTCTTGCCCTAGCAATGCCTGCATTTTTAAAGGAAGGATTGATATAATTCACATATCTGTAACTTTGTGGAAGAAAGAAAATCAGCAGGACACTTTGAATACTAATTTTACAGTGACAGAATCCCACTGAGAAAAGAACTGGTACCCTAAGTTAAAGGAAGGAATCAAATAGTTAATTGCATCAAAAGGTACTGAGAGAAATCACTGTGGATTGAAATGTCGCAGAGCAATATCACAGCATGACAGTCATTGGGAAAAACTAAAAAGAGATTAGAGCCTGCAAAGGTAGAAAACACGATAATAACAATAATAATGGGAGATTTCAATTCCTCCTAGGAACAAGTCACGACAGGGAGAGCAAAGGCTAAATTATTAGACCCATAAATAATGACCTATTAAAGCAATGGATCAGATAATTCACAAGAAAAGAAGCAGCTCTTGGCAAAGTCTGGGAAGTCCATCGGGCATGGATCAAAATTTATCTGTCACTGTTTGTAATAATAACCACAGTGCACTTGTGTACCCCTCTACAGGAGCAGAGAAGCCAACAAAATCCATCTCAGTAAATGCAGGAAGGTTGCAGGCAGGTAGAGGAATCTCACCTAGCTGCCATGTCTGGAGGCACCAGACAGACTGGAAATGGAGGAGGCATTTGTGGGGTCATCCCCAGCACTACACATCTTGGAGGTAGGTAATGACTGTGACTGAAAACTTCTTTTTGGCTATATCCGCAAAGGTGGGGAAGCATTGGCCAGCTCTGCGCCCTCCAACAGGCTCTCGATGATGCTGAAGTCTGATCTTCCAAATATTTTTTTTCCTTTAGGATTTTAAACTTCCCATGTTGGTGTTTTTCCTCTTTGAAACCCGCTAATGATCACTGTCCCAGCAGTCCTACCTCTATACCTGCATTTCTTATCTCACCTGGCTCTGCTCTATACCTTTTCTTGCAGCTCTTTCCCAACTTACCTTTTCTCAACTTAGCAATTTTCTCAGCAGTTTGAAATGTCTTTGATGCAGCTGGGTCTCCTGAACTCCTGGGAGAGGAGTGGAGGGGGATTATAGAGATGGGGTTACAGGCAAGGCCAAAAGGCTGTGAGTAAACTCTTGATTTTCACACTGTGAGAGGTGCCACCAGCCTTGGTTGGGACATCTCATCATACCGACAAGCAACCTGGAAAAGGTGAACAGCCAAGATGATACAATTTGCTGTGGATCCCAAATTGTTCAGGGTAATCAGCCAAAAGCTGAAAGCAAAAAGTTGCAGAAGGATGGCATAACGCTGGCTGGGTGATGAGATGGCAGATGGGATCCAGTGTTAATGAATGCAAAGCAATGCACGCAAGAGAAAATAGCACTAACAAAACACACACAGCGGCGGACTCTAAATCAGCTGCTTCCATTAAGGAAAGAGATGCTGCATTCATTGGGGATAATTTTCTAGAAATGCCTACTCAGTGCTCTGAAGGAGGCAAGAAAGCAAACAGTCTGCTAGGAAACATTAAAATGTAAAAAAAAAAAAGGAGAAAACATACTCATAAACCCAACATGCATATGCACCTTTGAGTGGCCATCTGTGCTCCT